AAGCTTTTCGCCATTACACGGCTCGGCGTGGTGAGGCTTCCGTGACCTCACTCAACTACATGCAACAAGATATGGAGCAGACGAGTACCCACTTATAGACCAATAGACCTACGACATAATGACGTAATGCAGTGTTTACCGCGGTGCATTGTGGGTGAAAGATGGGGATGTTGCAGGAACGCGTCGACGTGACACGTTATGTGTAACGTATACTACATGGCGTGCGTATCGACCTGACACGAAAAAAAGAGTAAAAAATCCCGATTATCGTCCAAAATGGTCCATGTGAACTGCTGTGTTCCATTGTGTTTATCAAGCACTTAACAATTTGGATAAGTTCCAATCTAACAGGAAACAACCTCCTCCCACTCACTTGTCCCCGGGAAAATCGTTGGATCCGGTACATCGTAAGTTTTGTCTCTGCTTACAAAATGTAGACTGCATAGAGGTACTTGCCGTGGACTTCGCTTTAATGGCCTTATTTCTCACGGAAATCTGTCGCCTTTTACGGCCCCGTGGAAGTTTTAAAAAAAGGGAACTCTGGCGTTCGTTGAGTGCTTGATAAACACAATGGAACACAGAAGTTCACATGGACCATTTCGGACGATAATCAGAATTTTTTTCCCCTTTTTTCGTGTAAAATCGATACACACGCCATATAGTATACGTTACACCTAACGTGTCACGTCGACGCGTTCCTGCAACATCCCCACCTTTCACCTTTAACGCACCGCGGCGAACACTGCATTACGTCATTATGTTGTAGGTCTATTCGCTGACGTTTTTACTGCGGTGTCCCCGTCGATCAGGCGCACATTCTTAAGCTTGACGAGCGCATGATTTTGGTTAGCAGTGGGCTCCCATTGGCTGATGAGGAAGCATTTAATATGCATCTCCTTTGTTCGCGCGCGTGGGAACACAACAGGAGTGGCTCCTAATTCTTATCACTGGATCGGTCTATGCCCAGCAAGAAATGAGACAGAGGGTACCCCCATGTCCAATCCCTACACACGCTCTAGGCTATTGTCACCTTACACACCCATCTAGATGTCTGAAAAGAATGCTGAGATTCCAGTTACACAATGACCAACACAAACCGGGGAGTGTCTCTCTTCCCCATATGTTATTTCAAATGTGGCCCTCGGGACCCTCCCCAGGCTACACCACCCACATGTCAAACTGCGAAACAATCGACCTTACGCTCCTACAAGGAACCTTTACTGCACCACGTACAGCCCCTCAACCTCCCAAGCCCCTCAATGACACACGCACCTCTCAGGATTTAGTTACATCAGTCGTGCTAAAAGCTAAGCGACGTTACAGCTAAACCCTACTCAAGATCGGTTCGGGGGGGTTCGGGGGG